CCCCCCCCTGCCCCATCTCACGGCTCGACCCCACGGATGGCCCGGGGCACGGTGGGGGGATGTCACGGCACACAGGGCCCCTGGGAAAGAGCAAATCTCCAAGCTTCCTATTCGAAACTCTCACCGTTGCCGCTCAGTCTCACTTCCTCCGTGGGGAACCCCCGCCACCCCCAGCAGCCGTGGGAGCACAAGGCTGTCAGGTCCCGGTTGCGATAGCAGCAGCTCTGAGCGAGGGCTCAGCTTCAGCAGCAGCTCCATCTCCAACCACATCCTTCGCTGCACGCGGAGGTGGTGGAGAAGGGCCTGGGAAGGGTGAAGGGGCTGCAGAGCCCCAGCCCACGGTGGGGAGTGGAGACAGGGAGGAGCCGGTGGTTCAGGGGGCCGACGCGGGCGCGCTTCTGCCCCCACTTCTGCAGCTCAGCAGCTCCCGGGTATTAGGCAGGACTTGTCCAGAGGCCCAGCCCTGAGCCAGGGACGCTGGCAGCAATCCTGCTGCTCCCAAGAGCAGGGTGGCGCTGCTTGATAGACAAAGCACATTGGATGGGAACACAGCCAGTTTCCACGTTCAGTAGGACAATACTTAGTGACACTTTAAGTTTTTGGGTTTTTTTTTTTTTTAATCTATTACACATGCATATTATCTTTAGGAAACCTTCCCAAAACATTCCCAGCTGATTAACTCCAAACAGCAGCAACTCTTTTTATTCCCCCAAGGCAGCACCCACCCCCGTCTCTGCTGCAGATCCCCCATCACGCTCCCGCTCCGTGGCAGGGCCGGCCGGACCCGGCCCCCCCGCCGGTGCCCTCTCGCAGCAGCCATAGAGCACCAGGTTGACCCCCAGCCCCACCTCCCCAGGGCCCAAATTTCCTCTGCTTAGAGGCTACATACACACAGTGTCTGATTTAGACATAGCAGAGCTGAGGGCCACAAATTCAGGGCATGAACAAACCGTTCCCTTCTCCTGCGGGACAGGAGCCTTGGGAGGAGGTGGCAGCGTAGGTGTCACCTGCTGCGTGCGCCTGCATTCGGGGGAGCACCCGTGCACCGCGGGGAGGCAAGGCGGCAGCCGCCGGGGCTTTGGGAGCACCGTAGAGACAGGGCTGGCACTAGTTTGAAGGTGAGCATATTGCTTTTGTTCCCATCTGGAGGTGCCTTAATGAGCGGTGCAGTCCCGCTTGGCACAGTCCCTCCGGGAAGCCCGTGGAGCAGGGGAGACCCGCAGCAGCCACTGGGGGCAGGCCCAAGGACGCCCCGAAGCTGCCCAGCTCCCCTGCTAGAGCTGGGCACCGCGCAGAGACTTCCCCCGCTGTGACTCCGGAGGGGACGGACAGTTCACGCAAGTCCCTTGCGGCCGGCATCTCCAGCTTGGTGTCTCGTACATCACTAGCAGATAAAAATAAATAGATAGATAAATAAATAAAAAGAAAAAAAGGTTTGGCTTTTTCTTTCACAGATGCTAAATAAACCCACTAAGGGATCATTTTGAACGCAGCCTCCATCCGTCCCGTGGCAGCGCGGGGCAAGTTTGCCAAGCGCCACGCAGCGAGGGGCGGACGGGGCCGCTCCGTTAACACGAGCGCCGGGAAAAGCGGCAGGCAAACTGCAGCAGGGCTCCAGCCGCGCAGACAGGAGCGTGGCCAGGAGCAGGATTAACTGCGCTTCCCCTCCGACCCTCCCTGCCGGGAAAGGCCCGTCCCTGCAGGCACTGCGCCAAGCGCAGGTCTCGCTAAGCGGGGCTGAAAAGCACCAGCTACGTTTCTCACGGCTCCTTGTTCCGGCTGCCTTCACGCTTACCAGCGAGCCTCGGATGGATAGCGTCCTCCCGTTTTATCCAGCCCCGTCGCCCTTCCCCGTCCGGCAAACGCGGCTTGCTTTGCTGCCAAATTAGAGCTTCGTTGTTCATCTGCGCTTCTAATCCAAGAGGAAGATAAATCAAATATACCCGGGGTTTCCTGTGCACAAAGCAGATTGACCTATTAAGCAAAGCTAAACTCCTCGAAACCTGCGTCACAGCGAACTAATCGCTCCGAAAGGGATTTGGGTTGCTGGGATTGCTCTGGCCAAGGGGCGTTTGGCCTTTCCAGGGTGTTGGCCTCCCACCCGAAAAGCCAGGACGCCACCAGCCCTTTGAAAGCAGCTCGGGCGCGTGGCTGCCGCTCACGGCTCA